ACTCGACAGCAAAATTTTGTGGAAGAATCCGAAATTTTCCGAGAAAGAAATGTTCCGAGAAATTTCGAAAAACTCTGAGGGGAAGTCTGGAAAGTCTGAGAAATTTTCCTGTTTCACACTGGGTATATACCCCCCCCTCCCCCTCCGCTCGACGGAAAATTCTTGGCTGAAAAACTGGAAATTTTCTGGGAAAAAATGGAAGAAGTGGTAGGAAAGTTGAGAAGGAAAGTGGTGATAGCATGGAGAGAGGGGGGGGGGGTTTATTTGAGGATGGAATTAGGGAGGCCGTATTTCTCAGGAAATGATCACATAGCGATGGCGTGCCCTGGGCGTGGGATCACAACGCGGCAGCATGGCCTTTTCTGCTCGTCCACACCCTTCGTTCATATCCATCCCTCCGCCAAGGCCGAAGCATAGCAAAGGAACGTATTAAAGTGCGTTTATGCCTTGCGTCAGTGTGTCGCACGGTTTCGAGCGTTTTGCCACCCCAAACCCAGCCCCCTGCAATCCCCAGCGTTCGCAGCGAAAACAACTAAATGATGTTTGAATTTCAGGAAGGATGCCGCAATCACACAGATCTACATGTCACCATATGCTGCTGTGATTCAGATCTATGTAATTTACCACCAGAAGAAAAGAAAAAGGTAGAAGAGCAGACTGATAATAGTGAGGATAAGGAAAGTGAATCGATCGACGAGGATGACCGAAACTCCACGTTACATGGTGAAGAGGAGGAACTCCTACCGATAACGCTGGACGAACTGCTCAAACTACCACCACAACTGCATCCGCCACCGCACGCTTTATAGAAATTATGCACACATCCAATAAATATTCGAGATCATTGGTGTTATGATGGTGAGTTTCTAACTCCCAGAATGACCTTTTCTAGCTAAGCTGGGGATGGGGGTGCAACACGGCAAAACGGGAAACTTCGCTCTTCTGCAGCCAGGATGCTGATGATGTAAAATATTTATTGAAACGGGCTTCAATGTAAGTGATTACACTGAGCAAGCCAAGTACATCAAATCCATGCCTTACAATCTCTATATCTTGGCGAAAACACAGGCATTTAAATGGATTAAGAGCTAACACAGTATTTACCCCGAGGAATCACGATTTATCACCTGCACTACCTAAACCTTCTCTCTCTTAATAAGCACAACATTAGAAATCATATCTCGGCACACGTTTTGATATCAAACAAAAAGAATCAATTAGGCAGTTTTCTCCTGCACTCTTAAACTATACTATCACCTACTTAATTAGAGGGCACAGTTCACACTAATCATGTGGGCGGAGTCAGGCCCACTACTCAGGAGTTCTCATTGGTGTTCACCTTCCTCTCAGGGCAAGACGGTAAAGACGAAGGTGCTGATCTGGTCGAAAAAAAGTCACGACAGCAGGCTTGGCCCACCCACTTGACCAGCGTGAACTGAACTTTGAGTAAAAAATAGTGAAGTAAAAATTCAATAAAAATTAAAGCATCTTCTTAACGATGAGTTCGAGTGCTCGTGCATCTTTGTTAAAGTTGCGTATGCCCTCAGCAAGTTTGTCAGTTGCCATCGCGTCCTCGTTCATGGCCCATCGGAACGTCTTCTCATCGACTGTGATACGCGGGATGTCCATTCCAGCCGCTGAAGCAGAAACTTGACGCAAAAGCACCCTACTTATCAAAGTTTCTTTTTTTTCTGATTCATTACTTTGCAGCTCCCTCCATATCCAGGGGCTAGGGAGGGCGGGCTCCGTATATCACAAAACAGAACAGCAGCAGGGCACGTACTGCTGTTGGGGAGAAATTTTCCAAAATGCGATCCACTCGAACGTTCCCTATGGTACGACCCGTTTCGCCTATCATCATGCATTTTCCTTACTTCCACTTTCCTGTTTATTTTTTCCGAAAGCATTCCACGTTCTCTTAAAAAAAGCTGCCGTGAGTGGGCGGGTGAGGATAGAATATAACACAAAAAAACTGGGGGAAAACGAGAAAAGACGACTGCAGCAAGCAAGCCGCCCCCCCCCCGCCCTTCCCTAGCTGGGAACCCAACGTACGAAGGAACAGTCGCCTCAAATGTTCCCCAGAAAAACGCATCAAACGCCATTTTCAAATGAAGCACGCGGCCACGCCCTCCGCTTCCATTTGCATAAGAGCAAATCAGACTGTATACAGTCCACATCCCTGGAGCGCGGGAAGCGTGGCTGCGTACCTCATTTGAAGGCAAGCAGCAGTCTCACCTACAGGGACGGCCCCTTCCATGTATGAAGCGAATGGGTCCGCAGCTGCTGTTGCGTGCCACTTTCTCCGCTCAAAAGTGTACGGGAGGAGGGCTGGAGGCTAGTCATCCCAGTGTCGTCTGTCGGGTCCGCCCGCGCTATCCTCGTGGTGCAGAAATTGCAGCGACACCGAAATCTCGCAGCAGACACGCAGTAAACGGTAGTGAACAAGCAGACAGGTAACGCGTTTGACTACGGGTGGGCGGTGACTGTGTGCGGCAGTACCGATGGAGTCGGAAGACAGCAGCAGTTTGGTAGCACTGCCCAGCCTGTTTCCGCGCACTTCGAGCGAAGAGATGGCACGCTACTGCAGCAGCGGACTTATCCGCTGCACGAATGCGAGGTCTGCTCCCTTGAAGATGGGCGCGCGTGTTTGCCTATGAACATGGCATAGATGAAACTATCCGTAGGATGTTTCCATTCGATACAGCTGTCATTTTGTTTTCTGCTAGACCTACATATCGTTACAACTGTTACGAAATGGCAATCCCCACCGATGCACATCTGCGGTACGGTCGAATGAAGTAGGCAGCCACACCCACTCCATGTATAGGATATGGCTTGTAATCTTAGCCGGAATATACCGTTCGAATATATATTTCTACACAGTTTGCAATGTGCAAGCCGTCGCGACCGTCTGATCTATGCGATATCTCTGCAATCTGCTCATCAAGCTATTCCTGCCAATCATCAGTTATTCATCCACGATCCTTTTCACCATTCGATTACAATGGCCTCAAATGCCATCCCATTGCAAAGAGCGTCTATTGAACAACGTAAAACAACCGCGGTCGCCTCTGATGATTGTCATCTCCATCGCTTTCTCAGGAAATCTGCTCAGTTGAATAAAAAAAACAGCACAAGCTTTCTTACCATCAGAACTCTTCAGTGCCACTGAAACGACTTCATCATCTTGTGCAAGCTGTTGCAACAGTCCAGGGCTAAATGATTGAGATTTGACAATATTGGCCGTAACTTTTGAGAACCAAGTTCAAGGTCAAACCTAATAGTGAGCAGATCACAACCCATTAAGCCCTTGATTTCTTCTGTATTTCTGAATGATGCGGCCATAACTTGCGTTTTGTACCCGTGCTTCTTGTAATAGTTGTAGATACGTGTTACACTCTAGAAAAAAAAGGTCAAGGGAGAAAAGTCCTTTCTGAACGGGGTATTAGTAAAGCTGGGCGGGAGGGGAGGGCACAGCTATAAGCGCTCGTAAACGTATCAAATTCTGTAAACTGTAGATTGTGAATAGACAAAATTGGGCACTATTGAACTACTCCTACCTCGAGAGAACTTAAATTTTTTCTGCGTCAAACGTCGCCTATAGATGTGAGTGATATCGATTGTGGTGAAGAAATTGCGTTTCGAGGCGCTGGTGCCAATTGTTGGCCAAGGTCTGGCGGGCAGAGCCTTTTGTCATATCAAAGCCGACCGAAAACTTGCATAGGGGGGGGGGATTTAATGAGGTCCTGATCAATAATCCGACATTTGTTTCCGGCGCTAGCGCCATTTGGTGCGCCATGCGCCAAAGTTGGCGGCAACGCACCGCTTTCACGTTAAACGGTGAAAACTGTGTAATCTGGTGGTATTTGAGGTGGCGGCTGGATTACGTAATCCGACAGGCACCGATGACGCAAAATGACGCGGTAGCGGCGTCAAAACATGTGTAATATTCGTGATCAGCGCATCGAACTACACCTATAGGCAACGTTTCGGCGAAAAAAACTTTTTTTGAATTTTTTGGGGTAGGAATAGTTCAATAGTGCCCAAACTTGTTAATAACACCCTGTCAGCCTTTTGATCACCTGTCAAGCACCCTGCAAACTTCTGTCAATCTTGTCAAAGAGTGGCCGAAGATTCGGAAAAAAAATAGAGAGACGATTTTCCAATAACGCTAGTGCCATTTCGCCAAGCTCGACAAGAGCTTACACATGACTTGACAGCAAAGTGCAAGACTTGCAGTGTGTGCAGGGTGTGACACGATTGCTCGCTATTCACATGCGTACAATTAACAATTTAACAAAGTTTACTTACCGAATAATTGCTCAAAAGTCGGCAGACGTGCCCCCCCCCTTCCCTTGCCTCTCCCCCCAAGGGTTATCAGCAACTTTTGAACTCCTTATACTAAAGAAAACCAGAACCATGGTGAATTACCTACCTTAACTCCTGGGTCATCATGACGAGTGTACTTCTTTACGTCAGTATGTTTAACATACCAATCCATAATCCTTCCAACAAATGGAGAAATAAGCGTTACATTTGCTTCAGCGCATGCAATTGCTTGCTCGAAATTAAAAAGCAAAGTCATATTACAATGAACACCATGTTGCGACTCCAATATCCTGAAATACAAGCGGACGTAAAAATGCCTAACTAGACAAAGGGTTTGGAAAAGAATAAAGTATCAGACGTAGATCAGTCCATTTTTTGGATGCAGCACGCACTGTACTTCAGAATCGCAGTGGCTCACTCAAGCGGTGCTGCCCATACAATGAATTGAGGGAAATGTACAAGTCAGCGCTTTCATCCTTCCAGACAAATCCGGTACCGCGCTTCGCGGTTCTCGGAGGATAGAATTATTACTATTCGACCTTCGGAACGCGCGTATGGTAAGCGTGCCACATGCCGCTACAACTCCTTAAGAGCCTGGAATATAGGGGCATGTATTAGCTAAGTCTACCATTGAAGTTCTCACTCACTTCGAATAATAAGTCTTGATGCAATTTCACAGGCTTTTTTTCAAGTTCGCTTCCTACGCGTCCAAAAACGAGAAAAACTAAACCTCAAAATTTGCTGAACTGCCGCTGGAAAGAATACAATTAGGCACCGGGTTTCCTTTCACATCCAGAAACATCAGCTGTAGGCTTCAACCTTTGACTCAATTTCAGATGTTTGTTTAGTAGTTGTGAACAAGCACTACTTCTCAAGCTCATCCCATCAAGTGCGCAGTACCTTGCGAATAAGGGGTGTTACTCGCCAGTCGCGGCGGATTCCGCGAAACAGCCGTTGCATGCGGGTTGATGTAAGCTATATTCACACCAGGAACCAATCCACTCAGCGTAGAGGACTTACCACGACTCTCTCGACTCTTTCGGCATTTGAATCTCCCAGGCCGACTAGCTCTGTTGTGCCTGTGTCTGTCAGACAGCTGGCTATGGAACACCCTGCCAGTGCGCTTAATGCCGCGACTGCCAAATACGCTCCACAGCCGTATTTTGAGCAAAGGAAACCCTCCATGAAACCTCTTGAGGTCCATAAAACAATGAAAAAGCGAAATTTCATAGGGTATAAGGGGGGAGGGGGGACAATTTGAAGGAAGCTACTTCTAGCCCAGACCAAGAAAATATCTGCACCTGTCTACTTGAAGGTCTGCTCCTGTTAGGTACCACAACTGCACCAGGTACATGCAGTACAGAATCCATTTTAATTTGTCCACATCTTACGCAAGGGCGTGAGAACTTTTTTTCAGGTATTTTGGCAGAACAAAACAAACTTAGTATGAAAAACATACTTGGCGGCTTGTATCCCTTCCCATGTAGATGCCAGCTTGATCAGAACTCGTTCCTTTGAAATGCCAAGCTTTTCATACTGTTCGATTAAGGACAACGCCTTGTCAACGGATCCCTTTGTATCGAAGGATAACCTAAACAAGTAGCAAATAATGAGTGCCGGTACAAACACATGGAAAGCTTTCAGGGCCAAAGATATAAAGGTGGCGTCATTCAAAAGCGTTCGGATTCAAATTCTTTTAACAGATCAGGAAAAAATGGCAAGGCAGTTCGGCTTTGTGGGGGCCACCAGATGGTACATAACGAAACCAATTGAGTCCACCTATCAAGATTAGTAATTTACTGTACTGAAAGTGGCTCACTTATACAGTTCGCAGTTTCAGAGGAGTCACAGGTCTGACCAAAGTGTAACCTTTTAATTAACATGAACTAGCAAAAGGAACTGGCGTAAAATGCAAAATGCCCATCGAAGCCGAAACCGCCAAAAGTGAAAGCAGAAATATAAAAAAGGAATTCAGGAAAACTACAGGTCAGAAAGTTGCTGAAAACATAGGTCAAAAAACCTACTTAGCATCAACTTCTGTTGATACACGACCAGGAATGATCTTCAGAATTTCCTTTCCAAAAACTACAAACAGCCTATCCATCGCCAACTCTAGCACCTAAACAACGATAGCCTCGACATGAGTAAACACAAGTGGAATTAGCGATGCACCTGCTCAGGTGTTTTGCCTGCTGCATGCTCCTTGGCATAAGCTACTGCCTCCTCCATCAAAGGAGCATACTTCGCCATTTTTGAAGCTCCAAGAATAAGAGAAGGATTCGTGGTCGCATCTGTAGGCTTGAACTCTTTCACTGCTGAAAAGGAAGAAATGATGAAAGCAGAAAGAATCAAAAACTACCAGTCAAATAAAAGATAAGCAAAACATCACTGACAGTTGAAATCTCCAGAATCGGCCACGACTATGGTCACTTTTTTCAACTGTTCTAATACTGACATTCTGAAATACATGAAATGACGTCATAGAAGATTTCGCTTTGGCGCTGCTGTAGTAAAGGGGGGAGCGGCAAAGTACGCTGAGGCGAGGTCGGGGCGACAGTCTCTGCTCATTCCGCTCAGTTGTCTCAGAAGATCCTAGATCGCAGAACTTTTAAAGCTGAACTATGGTAACAGAACAAATCACTTGGCCTCGCCATTGCGTGGTCCCTCAACTACAGCTGCACCTTCCCTTGTAGCCTGATGAACACCAACACGAAAAATAAAAAGCACAGATACAGAAAACTACGCCTGTGCGCCAAAAAGACCTCTTTCATGGTCGCTGATGTCGCGCTATTGCCTAGCGAAGGTGGAGATCCGTGGAATCGGAAGAATAAGCGATTCGTGAAAATCCGTGACCAGCATACAGTATCGTTGGAGAATCCCATCAGGGCGAGGGACCGTACTTTCTCGTTGGAGGAGTCCTGTCTAACGACAAGTTCCGTTCTGAGAGTCGTATCTAGCATTTTGGTGATTGACTTTCCGCGACTTTTCGTTTCTTTATGTTTCTTGTGCGCCAACGCCTCCCTCTCGCCCCCTTTCCGCCCAACGGCAGAATTCTGAGGGAAGCCGGAAAAATTTTTGGAGAAGTGGAAGGAAGTTGCGGCGCAGTTTATCGAGGGGGGGGGGGGCATTTTGCTTTCCATAGATGTGTCGACCCATCTAGGTAGCGTTTTCTCGAGTTGACACGTTTTGGGATGGTGGCTAGACGATCCTGCTCCAGCTTTACAAGAGTTCACAAGTTTTACCAAAGTGAGATTTGCAAACCGGAACAAGGGAAGCAGTGATAGTACAAAATGCCCCCCCTCCCCCGTCGATAAACAGCGCCGGAAGTTGCTAAGATGGCAGAGAAGATGAGCGATGGGGCCGTTCCGGACGAGAAAGCTTTGAGGATGGGTGTACTCTTTCGATACCGCCGTTTCTTACATCCCTATGCAGAACCTTGTCCGCGACCAAGAGTTAGTTAGGAACCACTACTGGCCGCCTTTTTTTCCCAAAAGGCATTCTTGAGACATACACCCAAATCGCTGATTCTGCCGAACTACGAACTCTTCACATTCGAAAGGGCAAGAGTGGGGCTTTACAAGAGTTTTCAAATCGTAGTTCCTTGGTGTTAAAGCTGAACCGACAATAATGAAAAATAACAAAATAATTCAGCGCTAAATTCAAGATCACTGGAGATAACGAGAGGAATGCTTAGAGAACACCGAGAGAGGAAAGAGCAGGAATGTCAAACAAAACATGCAACGTATGATAGCTCCACGCGCTTATCCAACGTACCGCTTGAATGTTGAATAGACATCTTATAAAGTGCATTAAGCAAAGTAAAATACAAGTGCTATCTGTAAATCCATCCCATTTAGCACTGCTTCATGTTTGAACAACTGTATAAATACTTCTCAGTACTTCTTTTGCTCATATACGAAAATGGAGCTCATGTGAATTTCAGCTGTGAAGGCGATAAAGATGGATGAAATTCGGATAAACAAAGACAAGTGAGGAGTAACGAATATATCGAAGTGAAGTATGAACGAGCGAGCGAAAGGGCAACAATGGGAAGCATCGCTGTGCCATGCGACTCGACAAGGACAAGGTCCACAGATCGGTCCTGCAGAATCCAGCAGCAGATAACTGGATAACCCATCACTCCGAGACAAACCGCTGGTTCGCATCACACTGTATTACAAAGCGAATTAACGTAGTTTTCCAAATACAATCGATCCTTTTTTGAAGTCTCTCGCATTCGACTTCCATCCGGGGACGTGGCTTCACGGCGGGATATATGGGGCCTATAAAATGCCATCGCATCAGTCACAGCGCGTTCAGAGTTCGCGATCGTGCGATCGGATCGCGCTACTGGGATGGGTGAAATTCACACCGGGGGGTCATGTTTGTTCATGTTTATTGTTCATGTTTATTGTGTTTATTTAAAAGAGAACAGGAACAATAAACATGAACAAACATGACCCCCCCCGGTGTGAATTTCACCCATCCCAGTAGCGCGATCGGATCGCGCGATCGCGAAGTCTGAACGCGCTCTCAGTGTTTCTCTCTTTCCAGTCCAGCCTGGTACCAATTTACCGTCACAGAAGCGATGGAAGGTTGGGTTGACAAGGGTGAGTCGCGACAAAATTGGACACCCAGACCAGAACTGCAGGCGGGATAATCCATGCCACTGAATACGACATCATTTCCGCTCGACTTTGCGCAAGCAGTTGTATAAGCAGAAGAGCACTAAGATCTGATTTCGGTTGCGAAATGCAATTGACGCTGCAGAAGGCACAAATTTTTTTGCAGAGAGTATTTGACACATCCTGTAATGTGACACACAGTGTGTTTCACTACCTTCACAAGCTGAAATTTCTCAGAGTTTGATTATTACCAAGTATTTTTCGTTGCGTACATTCCTGTAGGTGTACTGGTTCTTAAATATGGCTGGGTCATTATAAGCTCCAATAATTTATTTGTTAAGCACTGTTCTAAACTGTAGCGAATTCACAAACACGTCGAAAGACATTTGTTCATCATTTTCGAACACATTTTTGCGCCGGTGTCACTTGGCGCCAGTGGGCGCCAGTCCGTCGCAAGGCCTTTCTCACCAAAATCGATGTGAGCTCACGAATCAGGCTGATTTGGTTACGTTTACGGTCAAAGATAAGGTAAAAGGTGGGCGAATGAATGCAACATTGCCGATGACTCTCATTTCAAATTTACCACTGCATCGATAGAAAAAGTAATGGCTCAACATTGGCAGCAACTGGCGCCAGATGGCAACAGCGTCAAAGTGAATGCAATTTTTGTGATCATAGCGTCAAATAAGCTCCACATGCGAAGTTCAAGAATAAAACTATTAACTACAAAAAAGATGTTGCTGAAATCTGTCGCGTGTGGCCGCATGACACACATGGTGAGTCATACTAGAATTAGTGAAGACGTCACGGCCCTACGTGAACGCCTCGCAAAATAGACGTCGATGCGGAACGAGTGGAAGAATTTGTGCACAACAGAACCTAACTATGTGGCTTTTGCTTGAGCCTAAAAGTTGAAGGAGGTGTGTGAACTAAGCAAAATGCGGTGGTTCAATTCTGATAAAAGTAGTCGCGCTTCGGCATGAAGACCAATTGGATCCCTCAAGGGGATTCGCAGCGCGCGAAGTATCACAGAAGGAAAGACCATAACAGATAAGATCTGATCATTTTCATTAATCTTTTTAGGCCGTTCCTTCAGCTATGAAAGAAGAAGCACTAACTTGAGCGATGTACGTAACATAGCACGATCCAAGTTAGAGGTTCTTGTTTCCTCCCCTAATTCCCATTCAGTGAATATGTGATCGACGTCAACTTTCATACCTGAAAGGTGTATGGGAGATAAGAAAATTTTGAAAGTGGTGCTTACTTAGTAAGTGTTACTTGTAAAGTTATTGAATGAAGCAGTTCTTAGGTCTAGAAAAGGGCCAAAAGTAAAGAAGATGAAACTTCAGGTATCTCTTCGAAGCGCAGACGAGTTTACGAACTGCTAATCTGAAGAAGGGAACAATTTGCGAACCACAAAGCATGGAAGAACGAAAGTGGACTGTGCACAAAGGCGGAGTAGGAAAACAATTTAAACATAGCGGCGAAATAAATAGGCAAAAGGTCGCTTCGTAATCAGATAACTGAGAGAAATAAAATCGCGTGGGGAAAAATAATCGAACGATGTGGTCTGCGATGAAAAACCACGCCACTCACTCGCTGACTATGCCATTGATAAGGAGGTGCAAAGCGAGAGGAACGCATCGGATACTAGACTGTTTCACTTGTTTTCAAGACAATCACGCGGACGTAGTATTTGTCATAGTTACTATTTACAGCTAACTATATTTAGAAAACTGTAGGATCAATCTTTCACTGGCTATATAGCTTGCAAGACTGTTAGGCTGAATATTTTATTCAATGTGGCCCAACTTTTCGCCTCGTAGTCGTGTTCAGAGGCCGACGGTCGACCGTCAATGCGGAAAAATTGCCTGAAGAAGAAAATCCTGTTGAAACGCTTAAAACCCCGTAGCCGTGTACTTGCGTACAATAGGCGATCACCGTAACTCCACGCCTGCTTTTATTCGCCCATGGGGCGGAACTGAGGTACTCCGTGTTGTGTCTTAACGGGGGTTCTTTGTCATAATCACCATCAAGGAATCATTTCATACTTCTTCTGACTTTGTACCACTTTCGGACGGCTCTCCCCATCATTTGTCGTAAAAACCGTGAAGCTTTTCTGTTCACACTCTAGAGCTACGCATTGAATCAAGGTATTGTTTTTCCAGGTTGCTTGACCAAATGATTCCCCGACACCGTGGGGTATTCTAATTGTCGTCATGGGTATATGAATTTAAGGCAACGGATGAATTGCATCTGTCCTCGTGAACCAATAGTTTTTTGATCTTCAACATCTGTATCTTTGCAACGTGCTATAGTAATACCCGTCGGGTGGCGTGGCCACAAGGGGCAAGCGTCGAAAAGACCGGTGTTTTCCCTAAATTTGTGCTTGTCAATAGATATTAGAGGGAGCACCGTTTACAAGGTAAACGTTCCTATTGTCTTCAAGGTGGGCTTAATGTTGATTTCATGATCATACGTAAGACCTGATAACCACTTTTTCGCCTCTGCCTAATGTATACCTTTGCAAAAAGCATAAATTCCAATCTAAGTTAATTCTTCCTCTCGGAACTTCTTAGTTCAAGCAGTAGAAACACCACAGCTTTAATAAGAAGGAAACTATCGTCTCCAAGCTCAGGAAGAAGGCGCTGAGCCTAATTATATTCCGTCACTTGCAAGCCCTCGCCATATTTTGGCTCACCCAACCGGTACTAAGTAACACGCACAGCCGCAATCTTTGCGTTGCGGAATCTTGAAGAGATTTACATTAGTTTTATTCCATTTAAATCTCGTATATCAAATTGAAGAAGACACTCAGATTTCTTCAGTACTTTCTGTATATTG